CTATGGTGTATTCTCACATGGGCGAGTACTCGAAAGCACTTTCATCGCTAGAAAGATCACTTGAAATCCGAAAAATAGCTCTCCCTCCAAATCATCCCGACTTTGCTCAATCCTACAACAACATCGCTATGGTGTATTATAACATGGGCGAGTACTCGAAAGCACTTTCATCGTACGAAAGATCACTTGAAATTCAAAAAATAGCTCTCCCTCCGAATCATCCCTCATGGGCTGCTTCCTACAACAACATCGCTATGGTGTATTCTCACATGGGCGAGTACTCGAAAGCACTTTCATCGTACGAAAGATCACTTGAAATTCTCAAAATAGCTCTCCCTCCAAATCATCCCAACTTGGCTACGTCGTACAACAACATCGGTATGGTGTATTATAACATGGGCGAGTACTCGAAAGCACTTTCATCGTACGAAAGATCACTTGAAATCCTCAAAATAGCTCTCCCTCCGAATCATCCCTTCTTGGCTTCTTCCTACAACAACATTGCGTCAGTGTATGATAACATGGGCGAGTACTCGAAAGCACTTTCATCGCTAGAAAGATCACTTGAAATCTCCAAAATAGCTCTCCCTGCGAATCATCCTGGCTTGGCTGCTTCCTACAACAACATCGCTATGGTGTATGATAACATGGGCGAGTACTCAAAAGCATTTTCATCGTTAGATAGATCATTTGAAATCTTCAAAATAGCTCTCCCTCCGAATCATCCCGACTTGGCTACTTCCTACGACAACATCGCTTCAGTTTATTCTCAAATGGGCGAGTACTCGAAAGCACTTTCATCGCACGAAAGATCACTTGAAATTCGAAAAATAGCTCTCCCTCCGAATCATCCCGGTTTGGCTACTTCCTACAACAACATCGCTATGGTGTATAATAAGATGGGCGAGTACTCGAAAGCACTTTCATCGTACGAAAGATCACTTGAAATCCGAAAAATAGCTCTCCCTCCGAATCATCCCTCATTGGCTACTTCCTACAACAACATCGCGTCAGTGTATGATAACATGGGCGAGTACTCGAAAGCACTTTCATCGCTAGAAAGATCACTTGAAATCCGAAAAATAGCTCTCCCTCCAAATCATCCCGACTTTGCTCAATCCTACAACAACATCGCTATGGTGTATTATCACATGGGCGAATACTCGAAAGCACTTTCGTTTTACGAGAGATCACTTGAGATGTTGAGAAAGTCGGTGCCTTCTACTCATCCTCATTTGGTAGTTGTGAAAAGAAAGATTGAAAATTTAAGAAACAGGTTTTAGTAGTTTTATGTTTTATTTCTGCAAAAATAAAATTCTCGAGATATTAGTTTTGATGAGAATTCTCATCGTTGTCTTTTTTTTGGGATGGGGAAGTTGAATCAGAGTTGCACCATCTTTACGAGCGATGCTTTAGATTCCAGTTATATTTAGCAACTCGAAAGTTGCTATTGCGAAAGGGCACGTACGAGTGTGGGAGTGGATATAGGTATCGGTGCGAGGTCGGTTATGGGTGCATGTGAGGCAGTTAGCCGGGCAACCCCGGGAGCGAGGTACACAGTACCCATTAGACTCGCATACGCATCGCAGTCACACACCTGTATCCGTAGTCACATTCACATGCACATTCTTATTTTAAGAATTATTCAATTAAAGAGACATCCTTTTGTTTACTTGTGGTGAATGTATATCCTTCAGATTTTGCAAACAATTTCCGAAACGCTGTTACACTAGGTGATTTGTCTGTAGTTGTATATAAATTTTATGGAGTTACATTTGATAATCTAATGGAAGCTAAAATATTTAAAGCATACTGCACGATTGCATGGTAAATCTACCAGCTCTCAGTCTTCGTTCTCTATATTATAGAAAGATAGAACTTGAAGCTTTACACCTTTCGGTAAATTTAGTTTTCTTTTTTTTGAATAGAAAAAAAGTTTTCTGAGATGACCTTATTTTGAGGTGTATGGTTTTTTTTATAAGTATTCAGTGTTTTGGATGATAATCGTAATGGGTATAGTTATTTTTTTGTTTTAATCTGGATGTCAAAATTAATAATATAGATTGACGCAGTTTTTCATGTTCTACAAAACGATGCTAGGACAATTCGTCGCACGAACAAGTCATTGAAAGACAGTTCGTTGCAATGACACAAATCAATCAAAATTAGTATCTATTTTTTAACCATGAAGTGACTTATTCATTTAAGTTTGACACATGTAATTCAATGGCCATAAAAATCATTAGAAATATAACTAATAACTTAACCTCGACTTTTGATCCGGTACAGTATAACAACCTTCTTCTGCCTATAAGACGTCAGTTTTTTCGAGCTATACAAGTGATGAAAGTTGCCTTATAGTAGTGGAAGTAGAAATGCACATTTTTTAAATTTATGCTGCAGCTCAAGGTTTCTGACAATGAGAAAATATCTTGGAAAGACTAACAAATTTTAGCTTTCAATAAAGTACAGCAGCATTGATGCCATTAAAACTTTTAACGAATTTGTATTTTCAAATCTTCACGTTTGATGTACAAATTCTATTATTTTAGGGAGCATCGCCTGTTACTGTATACATATAAACAATAGTTTGCAAAAAAGAAACTTGGAAAAGTCTTACTATATAAACATGTAATACTTTCTAAACCCTATCGAATCTTTGTTTTTTGCAATCATTGCCGGTTTATACTAAGCAGATTAGCCATGAATAATATCTATATATTTGATACGATTCTATTATATTCTAGTATAATACTAATCTAAGATGACAATGGCACATAGTCTCAAAGCGAATGATACGTCTGCATTATATTAATAGAACATGAGAATTCGCTCTGTTAGAAAACTCCATCGATAGATGAAGATATTGTCATATAGAATTAGTTCCGGATTTGAAAGGCTTAGATACTAAAGGCTTCTAAAATACCAAGCATTGAACAATCGAAAACAAATTATTCATTTCGAATAATACCTAAAACCAGGTCCATGCTTTTGACGAAATAATTTAGTGATGCTTAAAGAATAGCTCGAATACTAATGTAAAAGGCTTAGTTTTATTATTTTTAATAGCATAATTTCACGCTAATTGTGTTGTTTCAATTAATGTTGAAAAAATTGTAATTAATTTTATTGATAGCCTAAAACTCAGATATCTCATAGTTCTGGAATTAAAAGGAAGATGAATCAAATTTCGAGTCGGATGTTCTAAAACTGTCAACTGATATTCTTTTAATAGAGAAATATTTTTCTTGACAGAAGTTGAACTAGTCTCTGGTATAAGTTAAACATTTGTTCCAAGTTTTTTTGCAAACTATTGTATATATATATATATATATATATATAAAACTAGTCGAATTGAGTTATTGATACATACAATGTGAGGAATAATTCTGATGATACATTGTAATCGAAGATTTTTGACATCCTATTGATATTAATTATGGAGGAGACCAAGTGGACTTTTTTTCTTGCTAGGATTCTTTGTAGTCGACATGCCGAAATCAAAAAATCGAAGTTTAGTAATTAGTTGTATTTCTAGTAATTCGTATGGCCATTGAATTACATGCGTCAAACTTAGTCGAATAAGTTGTTTGACTGTTGAAATATAGATACTAATTTTGATTGCTTTATGTGATTGCAATGAATTGTTCGTGCAACGAATAGTCCTGTGACGCATTGTCCACAACGATTTATCGGATCATCCTACAAAACTACATATTATTTATATTTCCTAAAGATCCTTTTCTCGAGTTATATAGGATTAAAACTCGACTATATTGAGTGACAGGTACTGTGTATATGCACGAAGGGTGTGAGTGTGAGTATGCGGGTGTGTATATGAATGGCGAACAGAACTACACTCATAGATAAATGATACAACAATTTATTATTTGTCGCATGCTAATGCTATACCATCAATGCTCTCAGGAATTCATGCAGCAATTTTTTTTCAGTCTATTTCCATCACGAAAACCGATGCTTATTAACCCTTTGGCTCCCGGATTTTTTTTGCAAAAACCAAACTTTTAAAAAGTAGTTTTTAAATATGATTTTTATTTTTTTCGCAAAGAAATTACATGTTTATGTTAAAAGTACATTAATTATTCACATTTGTATGATAGTCTTTGAAGCAATTAACAACACATAGTGGTACATTACAGTCAGGACACTTATGCATGTGACCAGTCCGTAAGATATGACAACTCCGGTTTTTTTTGTATATGTAGCTTCTATAATATTTCAGAAAAAGATGATTTTTCTACCGGTTATGGCACTCATATAATGCTGATAATTTGCCAAGGAGAAGGAGTCTATATCTTGTTTGAGACCAAAATAACTAAGTGTCTTCAAAAAACCTGTTCGTAAATATCAAAAGCCTATTCGAAGACACTTGATTATTTCGGTTTTCAACAAGATATACAGCCCCTATTTTTGGCAAATCAACAGCATTGTATGAGCACTATTACAGGTAAAATAATCATCTTTTTCTGATATATTATAGACGCTACATGTGCAAAAAAAATCAGAGTTGGGATATCTCACGGACTGGTCACGCCTATATATTGTGTATAGTGTCGAAGACTGTGGAATGAGCTAACCACGCATTTTGGTCGAGACTGTTTTAATGGCATTGTTTTTGTGGAATAAGAGAAGGGAAATATCGAGCAGTTAACCGCAGAGGAGAAGGCCTTGTTGATGGTCTGCCGATAGTAGTTGGTCTTGGTGGTCCGAATTTTGTTAAAATTTTTTTGATGATACCAAGTCGAAAATCAGATAAGTGCAGTGAAATATCATTTTGCATTTGGTAAGTTATAAATATCAAGCAGAAAGGAAACAAAGAAAAAATATACTCGTATTACAGCATCTAATAGATGATGAAAAACTTTTTTAAACGGTTAAAATATATACTACTGACGCTTTTATTCGGTAAACGCATTCGAGTGCATATATGTGTCGCCGGGATGCAAAAGGTTAAAGGTGTTCTTCTATACGGCTGCGAGTTTTAGTCATCTGTACATCCCCTGAATTTAAGGCTTTAATATCATTGCAGTTACTCCTAATTTGTGACTTGTATTTTCAGAGCACTTTCATTTACATATTGATCGGTTTTATATTTATTAAGTTACAAAAGTCTTGCCAATGTTGCTGTTACTAACGTGTTTAGCTTAAATTGCTACAATCGATTCCATTCAATATAATTCTATGTGCTCAGAAAAGTGGATAAATATGCATTTATATCTTTTATTGGGGAACTTTAAGCGGTCGGACAAGTGTTTTGACGAAAAATATTGTTAAATTGTCATTATCAAGAATTATGACCGTCGTGTCACCGGAAAAAGTCGTCAATTGATCTTTCTCGATCACTTGATTAAATCACCATAGGTGACGATTTATTAAAATAACATTACTGAAGTCTTCGAACACACATATATTAAGATTTTTAGCATTGGACACTTGCTATCATTTCCAAATAATCACTGGGCAATAACTTTTAATCTATTGGGCAGTTGTCCAATAGTCCAAGGTTGGCTACGCCACTGGACCAACTAACATTAGTTTGATTTTAAAGACAATCAGTATGTAAAGCTCATTAACATACAACGATGTATTCTACTTCGTGTTGGTCAAGTATATTGAAACTATGATATGTATTAAGAGAAAATATGGTCATGTATCATAGACTAGATTAATAACACAATACGGCATTTAAGCAGATCGGATTAGATTTTTGATCGTCATAGTCGAGTTGTATGCAACCTCTTTAAGTGAGTATAGAGGTGTTACCAATGAAAACGGCTGTCATTTCGAAGCAGTATATGATATAATATTAAATATTCTCCATCAAAAATCAATCTGCAATCCTCACATCGTGGTCAGTTAACTAATTGGGTGTGGGGGTGTGGGTGTGAGTTAAGGCATAGTTGACAGCCAACCTCCCTCCTCTCCTCCCCACATCCACACGCGCAGACACACACCCACCCTCATGAATGTAATCGTTCATGGTACGCAATGGAGACATTGAATATGCTTTGTGAAATTTAATCGAGGGTCGAAGAGTATACGTTGAAATATATGGGCCCTTCTCTTTCGTAGCTAAGAAAAAAGTATCACTGGAACATGTTCCGCCATACCAATCAGTTTTATTATTGCTCATTAAATGTTGTTCGATACTCATTGTTGTTACATCAATAGTACATATATTTTTCGAAGTAACAAGAATAAATTGAGTGAGTGCCTTTGACCAGATCAAATCTCAAAGATCATCATAAATCCATGTAATCTGTTTTTCAACATTCAATGGTCTATCGAATAGACAAATTTTAGAGTCTTATACCATTAGCAAATGATTATCATTAGCTGCGATAAAATAATAAGGATCTTTTATTTTGAATGTCGGATACTGATAATTTTTAGTAGATATTTCGTCTGAGTTTAATGTTTTATCGTCAACACGAATAAGATGATTATCAATATTTAGAGGAGAGATATTAAACACAGGTAATTGCAATTGATTTATCTTTTGCTAAATTGATCGAATAGAATCATTAATCCTTTCCGGACCAGTGACGCTTTAAAGCGCCATTGAAATTTTACGTTATCTGAGACATGAAAATTTGAATATTTTTTTGCTCATCTCTGCAAAGTAAATATTGCATCTGTTTTTTTACACGTTCGTGTTGCGACGTGCACCTTCTTCAGTTGCGACCATACGAATTTTCCCTTATTATTGAGATGATTATATGAACTCTTTTGCCATGTACAAGATGAAAAACTAGACAAAGGCCGAACTTTCAAAGTTTCGTCTACAGCTTACTCGAGAGCTCATTTAAGAATACGAATCAAAGCAACCATTATGAAAGACAGATCATCAAGCGATTGTCCACTATGCGTCACTGCTCGTCATTTCATCACTTTCATCCGAGAAGTCGTGCACGAAACACTATTTCGTCTCAAGTCACACATTCAAGCAAGAAAACAAGCGAATTATAACAAAGTTTTATTGTACAGATTGTAGTACTCCACTGTGTAATCCCAACTGTTTCAAAGAATACCACTTTGAAAGCTTTGTGATGTTCACATTTTGATAAGCTGACAAAAATCAATCATTTTTGAAAAGTTGAGAAATCTGTAATTTTTGCTAAAAATAAACCGGTCCTGGAAGGGTTAATTGAATTGATATCTTCTTTTGTAGTATCTTGTTATTTAATTAATCTGCTGACTTCATCTCGTAATCGATTAGGTGTGGCTGTGGGTGTGTGTGGGGTGTGGTTGTGTGTGGGTACGGTGTCAGTGGGTGCGGGGTGTGGATGTGGGTGAATAGATACGACACACCCACACCCACCCACCCCACACCCCACACACCCACCCACACCCAGTCACACCACACACACACCCACCCACACCCACACCCACACCCACACACACGAAGAGAAAAATATTTCAGTTTCACATAAAGATAGACCAATAATAGAAAGGCAAGAATCAATAGGAAAAACATTGCCTGTGAATGGAGAATAATTGATGATCAGTGAATACAGGAGACTTTATATGAAGCGAAACACACACACGTTAGTTTTATCCT